AAATCACGGGGGTGTTTTAAAAATATTTATTCCCTTATCTGTTCGTACTTTTCACAAGGTACAACTAAACTAAGACTTGGTCATCATTCTGTGTCGAAGGCGCTTACAATGGGATGTCCTCAGGGATCGGTGCTAGGTCCATACCTGTGGAATATCGGCTTCGACGATTTTCTTACGATACCAATACCATCCGGATGTACTCTGAACGCGTATGCTGATGACGGCTTATTACTGGTGGAATCTGATACTAGGGCGGGGCTTGAGAGATTAGCCAATAGATGTTTGAACTTGATATCTCAATGGGGTGAACGTAATCGCTTAACTTTTGCACCCAACAAAACCTTCCAGTTACTTTTAAAAGGTAACCTCAAATCACCGCCGAGCATTAGATTTGACAATGTCACTGTAAAAAATAAAACCACAGTGTGTTATCTAGGATTAGTTTTAGAAAGAAACTTTTCATTTATCGAACATATTAAAATAGTTAATGAAAAGTCTAAAAAGAGTTTCTGTGCATTGACAAGGATATCAACTGCGACATGGGGTCTATCATTTAATACATTAAAGATCATATACGGAGCTACTTATTTAGGTTCTATGTGCTATGGTGCACCTGTATGGGCCGATAGGGCGACCGTAGGCGCTGTCCGTCGCAAACTGTTACAAGGCCAACGACTTGCACTGATATTTTTGTGCAAGGCATATAGGACGGTTAGCACTGAGGCTTTGCCGGTGTTGGCAGGTGTCCTTCCGGTCGATCTCGAGGTGCAGAGACGTGCAGCCATGTACTATTCAAGACAAAACATGGAATGCGATTTCTTGGGCGCGCGGGATCGCGGTAAAATTACAAGATTGCTTCAACAGCAGTCCGATGTCTATAATGACCTCATAGACGAATGGCAGCAACGCTGGGACGAATCATCCAAGGGGCGCCATCTTTACCAATTTTTTCCATCTGTTCGCGAACGGTTGTCGAGGACATGGCTTGAGGTGGATCACTGTGTCGCTCAATTTCTTACGGGTCATGGTAACTTTAAGAGCAAGTTGTATTCATTTAAATTAGTCGAGTCACCATTGTGTCAATGCTCAACACCTAACTCTCATTATGAACAGTCTGCTCATCATATCCTCTGGGAATGTAGTCTTTGGTATAATGAACGTAATATAATGCTGAATAGCTTGCAGGTGACATCTGGGGCGGTATACTATGGGGATCTTGTGTCAACTAGGGTGAATTTCCGTGCGTTTAGGCGATTCTGCCATACATATTATAGAAATCAAATATAGCTCATGTAGGACCCGTAATATTTGGTGGCCGTGGTGCTTCCCTGTTTAAAAGGGTGTATGCCTATTTTACTTCATTTTGTCTCCCGCTTTGCTAAGGAGGGAAGTGGATTTACTGTATTTCCAACTCCTCCAATTTTCTTCTGATTAATTTCGTTGCGGGTTCCAAGACAGTTTAATTTCTTCCTGGGACTTCCCGAGTGTCATAACTCGGTGTGTTCGTGGGTCACTGCTGTGGATCCTGGTGTACAGGAGTTACAGTGGTGGGCGTGTGGGTGGGATTAGTCCCAATGTACTTGTGGTCACTTTTATAATTCTGACCAGTTTTGCCGGCACTAGGAAAGATGTAATTTTCCGGTAGAATGTTTCTCGGTCAACCCTGTTATAGGCCTTCGTAAAGTCCACAAACCGCCAAAGAACGCTGTGGGCAAACTCCCAGCGCTATTCCATTATTTGTTTCCGTAGTTTCCACATTTCTTTCTGCATCCCTTCTTGTGTATTGGGCAGATGATGCCCACATTCCATTCCGTAGGCTGTTGTTCCTCTCACCAGATCTTACCAGATTTTATACAGTTGGGATTTTAGTGCTCCTTCTCCATATTTCCAAATTTCGACTGGTATGTTATCTATTCCAGGGGACTTGTGGTTCTTAAGCGTGTTTATTGCCTTGTGCACTTCTCTAAATGTTGGTGGTTCCAGGTCATTATCTTGGCTAGTGTTTATGTCTGATTGGTTACTGACTGGTGGGCAGTTGAGAAGTTATTGGCCATGTAGTCTTTTGTAACATCATGCTTTTTACACCCTAGCGCCTGATACATATGTGAGGGCAGTTTCTGTTGCACAAATTAGCATTTCGTTGTACACAGGCGTTTAAATTAAGAACGAAACGGAATTAATGTTTGACACTGAGTCCAAAACTTAATTCTCCCTCGATTATGGGATATCAGAAGGCTCCGAAACTGGACATACATTCCCCAAAATGCACAATTATTAAAAATGTGTATACCTATATATCTATTCTATATATATTATTATATCTATTGCTATTTCAATGGGTTGTTTTAGAAGGGTCTACCCTGGATAGCAGAACTTTTTATGTCATAATATTATTTTTGCATAACAACGGATAGCATAAACTTCATTTCAGAGAAAATCTTTTGGCAGACACTCATTTATCATACATTTAAAGTCATAATCATCTTTAGGCATAAAATTCATATCTATAATAATTAAAAAGTAGAAACATCACATCGCTGAAAGTTCATAGTCAGAATCGACTTTGAAATATCGTCGTAAAGTACATATCGATAGTCATTAAAACGTAGAACTACTCGTACAAGGTGGGCCAAAAGACGTCATCCGATATTGTTTGGCTCTCATTTTTTTTCTGAATAAAAAACTTCAATTCTGTTTTTTGATTATGTTTATTTGAACTTTTAGAATTTTATTGGTCAAGTCGAAAAGATGATATCGGCCAAATGGGCGCCGCCACAATTGATTGCTATACGGGCTCGTTTTATGGCATTTTTCATCACTTCGGCGAGAACTTCGGGCGACAGATTCTTGCACTCGTGTCTAATATTGTCCTTGAGGGCTTCCAGGGTCTCGGGCTTGTTCACGTAAACACGGGACTTCAAAAAACCCCACAAAAAAAAGTCTGGAACGGTTAAATCGGGCGATCTTGCGGGCCAGTGCAAATCGCCAAAACGAGAGATGATGCGACCCGGGAACGCCGTCTTCAGAATATCGGTTGTGGCTCGCGCAGTGTGTGCTGTTGCTCCATCCTGTTGGAACCACATGTCCTCCAGTCCTAATTCGTTCAATTGCAGCAGAAAAAACTCTGTTAACATGGCCCTATAGCGCGCACCGTCCACTGTTGTCGTTTGACCAGCGGCGTCCTCGAAAAAAAATGGCCCGATGACTCCTCCAGCGTGAACAGCGCACCATGCAGTCACTTTGAGTGGGTGTAATGGCTCTTCGTGCATCACTCGTGGATTTTCGGTGCCCCAGAAGCGATAGTTTTTGCTTGTTCACGTACCCGTTGAGGTGGAAATGAGCCTCATCGCTCATTATGATTTTGGTCGAAAAATCCTCCACTTCGTCCTCGAGATTGAGGATGGCTTGGGCGTAGGTTACACGCGTTTGGCGGTCGACAGGCAGCAGGTGATGCACGGACTGGACTTTGTACGGGAACATGCGCAGGTCTTTGACCAAAATTCGCCTTAGGGACGACCGGCTGATGGCTAATTGCGAGGCACAGCGTCTGGTCGATGTTTCTGGCGACAGCTCGACATCCTCGGCAACAGCGGCGATATTCTCGGCAGAACGGGCGCTCCGAGGCCGTCCATTCTTGGCAGCGTCTCGTGTGGTTCCATACTCTTCAAGGTTGGTGGCCAAACGGCGCAGTGTTTGCGCAGTCGGTGCCGGACGACCGGGGAATCGGCGACGGAATTCGCGCTGCGCCAACACCACAGACGAATTGTTACGCAAAAAAATAGACACGATTGTGCCGCGTTCTTGGTGAGTGTATCGCTCCATGGCTTGTTCACTTGTATTCTACTTCTGTCTAGTTTACAAATGTTAAAACAGATTTGACATTGGCCGCCATTTGCAAAAATAAGAGCATCTTCCAATAGGGTGATTTCTTTTGGCCCATTATCATATCAGACAGTTTACAGTGAAAATCATCTTTTGACATACATTTCATATCTATAATAATTGAAAGACTATCTATTCATCATTTTGTATTTCTTATCATAATATTAAAGCCATGCAGCATTCACCTTTTTTTTGACTCTTTTAAGATAATATTTTAATTTAAGGTTAAACATTCTATTTTATGCCATTACACCAAAATAAAATAATTTTAAATAAAATTGTAGCAAATAATCGTCACTCTAAATAAATGTTATATACACACATATAAACTCTGCCAAAGGAATTATGATAAATAAAATTATGCCATCTTAAAAGTATACCATTGTAAATTCGAACATATAAACATTCGGCCAAACAATAATTATAATAAATATTTTTTATGCCTTAAAAATATTCGTTTAAAGAAGATTTTGCTATCTAGACTCTTTATAATATGTGCCTTCTAATATTAAGAAACACAAAATATTATTTTTCTTTAAAGAATATTTTATAAAATGCACATGTTTTGAGCCTTCTCTACATAAATACAAAAGTACCTATTCTACTACCTTTAATAGATTTAACTTAATATTAGGTTATTGAAACAGTCGAGGACTCATTTTCCTTAACTTATGATTAATAGTGACAGTAGTCACTATTAATCATAAGTTTATATCAATGATAAATTTCGAAAAAACATAACATGCGCTTCAATTTACATTTTATAATGGGACAGACAATATTAATGCATTTAACTCTGCTTGCCAATTTACCTACAGAATAGTTAAACGTACCATTTAGTTTTAGATTAGTTCGATCGATGGAAAAACCTATACATTGCCAATAATAATAAATATAATAATACTTTGGTAAGCAGAGTTCACAGAAAATGCGACCTTACATATCTTATACATAACGTGGCTTTTAGTTTAACCGACCCATATCAATGGCGCTACTAAGTAATGAAGCATTGGTGTTTTTGCATATGTAGTTTGGACTGCTATTGTCTGTTGCGAAATGAGTTTGAATACACGCGTATTTTGTGCGCACTAGGAACGTAAAGTTATTCTATATTAAATATGTGGTACCGAACGGATTATAAAGAAAACTCAGTAAAGTTCAGTGATAGTACTCTTCGAGAAGAACTAAGGCGGTTAGGATTCAATGCTGGCCCTATTGTAGATAGTACACGAAGTCTCTATGTAAAGAAGTTGGCAACGTTGAAAAGAAAGTCTAAATCTGAATATGGCGGTAGTTTCAGTGGTGTTACTGAGCCTGCTTATAAACCTCTGAAAGCAAAACAACAACAGCGGAAGATATGTAAGTCAATTTTATTATATGTCAATATTTATAATAAAATACATAAATGTAGTTTAGCTTACAGTGAATAAGTGAAATACACATCACAATCCAAAGAGAATTATGAATATAAATTTATTCTAATATTCATATACTAACAATTAATTTAATATGGTATTTTTTTGTGTAGGTACGTACCTATTTGTGGAAAGAACATAACCTTAGTTCTAAACTTTAAGGTATTCTTAGTCTAGGTGTGTAATATAATATAGTAGTATATCACCGATCTTTGTAGTAATTAACTCTATCATATAATTTTAACAGTATTTACAATTTTTTCCTGGTTGGTTACACAAAATTGTTTTATGTAATATTTTTATTTAATTTTTTATATATAATTATTTATTTTACACATTCCATTGATTTAAAGGACAATTAATTGTAGAAAATACATAAGTAAAATGTGTTTTAGCCGGACTTGTCTACACTTGGTGTAATTACCCACAGTCAGAAGTTTGTGTTACAAAAATTTTACAGTTAACTAAACTGTCATCCATGTACATTATTGCACCATTCTCGGTACTCTTACCTAAATAAAATAAATTAGGAAAACTAGAAAGGATAGTCGGCAGTACAGAATCAATGTCATCATTTAATAGCTTTTAAAATGTAACACGATAGAAGATGTTCCAACGACACGCATGCGATATGATAGAGAATATAGAGTCACAGATAAAACAAGAAATTATTAAAATCCTCTATTGCGCCGAAGAGTTTCTAAAATACTATTGAGCAGTTTATTTTGTTATCATATTGGTATTGTAAGTGGCCAAATTAAGTTGGTTATCTTCGACGGCTGATACTTACTAATCTGTCTACATAGATAAGGCATGTCTAAAACAAAGAGTAACACTACGAATTGGTAAATTATTCTAAGTATATTTATTTATCAGGGTTAGTGCTGTAGTTTAGTAGTCTTATATCCTACTTTACAAAAGTGTATTTCTAAATATTTTTGGTAAGGGCGCATAAAACCATGTCTCTACTTAATTACTTTATGATAAAGTTTCTCCTCACGGTACACTGGTACACATTTACACTATCAAATAGTATAATTTTATTTTCATATAATGCAAAAGTCATATAATAACCTAGGTTGCAGTCTGATGTGTTTGTCAATATTCGATATTAATATAAACTATAATATAATTAAAAAACAGGTAAAGCTCCCAGATTCAACATTCAAGATTGTCTCAGCGGCGCCGACCTGACACAGGACTTGAAACCTTATATACAACTAGAAGAAAAAGGACGGGCGTATTTCGGAGATCCAAGGAATAACTCGACGAATAACACAACTAAGAAGTCATTCACATATCTATTTTTGGATCCAAGAATCACGAAGAACCTCTCTGATGAGACTAAAACTCAAAACATAACTAAAAATCAAAATATAAATAGACAATGGGAAACATTTATTAATTCAATATTTTATGTGGGCAAAGGTAAGCGCAGCAGTGTAGTAATAATTGTGACTTAATTGTAGGCGAATACCATTCGAACGAAACAGTATTCTAGTGTAAGCGGTAGCTGTATGACTCTCTATGACTTCTTAATTTATGTTACATGTCGATGAAAATTACAATATATTTCTCAAAGTTAGGTATGAGTTAAGGTTCCCCACCAGCAATCATTGCTGCCATGCTGGCGGGTGAGGAGGGCTGGGACGCAGTGGTTTCTTTCTGTGAAGCTGTAATGCTCCAGAAAGAGGCCGCTGAACGGGATCGGGAGAGGGCCGATCCCGAACGTAGAGGACGATGGCGGCGGTATCAGTCGACGGCGGGGCCGCAGGCTGCCAGAGAGTGGGGATCTCTGGTGGCAGATTAATTGCTGCGGTAGGCGATAGGATGGCGGCAATACACATTGATAAGGCTGATAGGCGTGGGGAAGCCTGTTTTCCCAGAGATGGGGCTTGGCTCGGCGCGGCTTCGATCCGGGGAAGCCTGAAATAACATGGTCCTCCCGGTCCCTGAGACCGGTTGTCGGGGTGGTTTTTAGTGGAAACACCACATACTCTGGCTCCTGCGTCCCCGAGGAGCCGGAGATCCGAAGGGATTTTCCACCCCGTCAACAAAAAAAAAGGTACGAGTTAAGGTATATGCTAAACAGTCAGTGATGACAAATGATAAATGTAGTCAACTGTTGCTTAACATTCTGAAATAATATTAATTACTACAAACAATCTTCAAAAACAATCTCTGATAAATAATACACAAAAATAACTCTAAATAAATTCTTGTTAATATAACGATTGGATTCAATAGTACTTTTTGCTTCTTGCTTCTTTGATTTGCTTCTTTTTCTAGTTGGATTCAGTTGCAACATAAGGGCAAGAAGTCGAAGCTTTCGGAAGGGACCCTAGGGTTAATGAAGGAACGACGTGAAAACCCACCTGTCACCAAAGCAGACTCTAAACCGAGAGATAAATAAGCCCGTACGACACGACCTTCGGTGCTTCAGGACTCTTTCAATTGAAAGAGCGATCGAGCAGAATCGGGGTTCAAAGTGTTCGTACAATCTCTTGGAAGAAGCCAATTGACGAGGTGACCACAGCAACTGGAGAAGTCGTTGCTTCGAGGCCGGCAGTCCTTTCCGAATTGGAAAGCTTCTATAGCCGGTTATACGCTTCGCATGCATCTTGACCTGATTCCGAAAATGGGGACCAAAGAGCTGCATTAACAAGCCACTACACCCAAGACCTGCCAGAAGTCAGCACTGATGAAATCGAGATGGCTCTTGGCAGCTGAAAAATAAAAAAGCCCCTGGAGAGGATTGCGTTACAACGGAGCTGTTTTTGGAACCATTGCATGAGGAGTGAGACAAGGGAACGTTGTCTCCCGAAATTGTTTACAAATGCTATGGAGGACATGCTTAAGACGCTGCACTGGAAAGGGCGTGGCATCAACCTCAATGGCGAATACATTTTTTACTTGCGTTTTACAGATGATATCGTCATCTTGGCAGAGACGCTGCAGGACCTACAACAGGTGCTGAATGACAGTGCCTTAAGACGAAAGTCTTCAATGCGTGTATTCTACCCGTCATGACATACGGAGCCGAAACGTGGACACTTACCGACGGCTGGTCCACAAGTTCAAAGTCGATCAGTGTGCTATGGAAAGGGCTATGCTCGGCGTTTCTTTAAGGGATCGCATCAGCAATGAGGTGATCCGGCAGAAAACCAAGGTTATCGTCATAGCCCACCGGATTAGTAAGATGAAGTGGCAGTGGGCTGGCCATATTAGCCGCAGAACCGTGAACCGTTGGGGTAAACGAGTTCTTGAGTGGAGACCGCGTCTCGGCAAACGCAGTGTAGAATGGCCACAAGCCAGGTGGAGTGACGATTTGCGTAATCGTGCTAATCGTAATCGGCTGACAGGAGCTGAATGCGAGAAGTCAAAAACCGATCGAATAGTGCAATAGGAGAGGCCTATGTCCAACAGTGGGCTGCGACAGGCTGATGATGGTGATTGATGATGATGCTTCTCTAATGAATTGGTACCTGATGAGTACACTATCTGGACAGCCTTGCCTCTTGAGCATGGATTTTCTAATCTTGCAATTTTATGTATTTATACTTTCTGCAAATACATTGCATAAGGCATAGGCATTTTTTTCCAGTCAACCTTTGGGTGATAAAGAGGTGTGTTTGTGGCAGGTGTATAATTAGAGCAGATGACATGGATAATTTTAAATTGTAGTCAGTTGCATGTTATACTACAGGGATATGTTTTATTTATTTGTAAAATATCTTTTGGTTACAGGAACAAACGGCAGACCATACAAACATTTAGAAGAAGCTCTCTCTCTCAGGAAGGATAAAGGATACAAGACAAGCAAAGATGAGAAGATTCAACGTATTTTTGACATTTGGGACGACGATAAAGGTGTTATTTGTCAACATGTTTTTCATAATGTGATACAAGATGAAGCTTTCACATATGAAGCGGCCATGATTGATGCACTCGGAATAAACAGGTTAACAAATATAAAATTAGGAAGTTACAAAGGGATTGTTAAGTCATGGAGAGAAGAAGAACAGCTAAAGCTTGGAGTATACTTACTATACAAAGCTTTGAATAATTACCTCAATAAAGGTGAAAGACAACTGCGACCAGATGATATTTAATATAAAATAAAATATAAGACATACAGACTCAGTACAACAATTTGTGAATCACAAAAGTGTTGTCCTATATGGAGATCTAACTCACAACACTCAGCGCATTAGAAAGCGGCGAGACGGCCGCTGGAACCACTACGCCATCCGTGCAGTCATTTTAGATAGTTATTGTAAGTTTAATTATTATTATAAAGACTGCCATTCCTATCGTATTGGAATTAGGAAATGTATAAGTTACAAGAGGCTAAAACTTTGCTCAAGTACTATATATTTTAATAGTGTTTCTATTTTTTTATCAACTAACATTTAATTATGTGGCTTGTTTTTTATATAATAGTGTCACATCAAGACTAACATTAATTTTAGTTTTGATGTGTAATTACTGTATTACAAAAAAGACAGGATCGCTCAGCTATACAAATAATGGAGTGCCAAATAACTCAACTATTACTTAAATAAATTAGAGTTTAAAATACTATAAGAAGCCCGCTCCCGACCGAGTTTGATAAATATTTAAGAAGATATCAAGATTTTAAATGAAGAGGCATATTGAAAACGGTCGAGAGGCCGATAAATAACTCGATCAACCAAATGAAGGAGTCACCTGCTACACCATCAGATGATCAGAGATGTGATGAAAAAGTCCGTGGAGACAAAATTTCCTCTCAAGGTGTAGAATACGTGATGATGACCACAAACATCACTTATGAGGGACTGACTAAAGAGGGAGAGACTTAGAGATGAATAAAATTTATATTATATTATAGTAGTAAAATTTTCTATTAGCAGGGTTCTGTAATAACTTGTGTTGGAAAGCTTTAACATAAATGGAAATCTTAGCATTTTGATTTACATTATGATGAGATTCATAAAATCTACAAATAAAAGAAAACCATTTTTTTTCTATTTTTCCTTGAACATTGGCCAAAGGTTTGAGTTATTGCTTATTACCCAATATTTTATTTACGGTTCCAAAATCTCGAAGAACCTTCTTTGATACGTGCCACCGAGTATCTATGAATAAAAACTACTTTCCCTTAACTATTTGTCTTTGATATTGGAATTAAGTTCTGTAGCCCTCTATATACTTTTATGCAAATTTACGTGTTTGCAAATTTCTGATTTCTGATTTCTGCAAAAAAAAATATTAGATTTCGAACTAAATATCTCATCGATCATTACGCAATGTGAAAACAATGCGTAATAATCGATGAGAGATATTTTGTTGTCATATATAAATATGATGTTCTCAGTTTCATATCATTTCAATGGCGTATTCTTGAACTGCAAGTAGCAGAAATGCACTAAAAATCTATAGTTTGTAAATAAACTTCTCTGGATATTCCGGCTTAAAGACTTACAGAGGTGATCCGCTAATCTTCGTCGTATCAATGGGTGAACACCCCAAAATTCCGCCACAGAAATGGCATTGTCCGTTGCTTTACACAGCTCCCGAAGATTGCAGCTGGAGGGGCCCAGCGGACAAGACAGCAAATGTGGCATGGTTTGCATTGGAGTGCCACATTCACAGTGAGTTTGCAACTAGTCGAATTAGCCCGAATTTGCCATATTGCTCTCACAACGACCAACCATATTCATGCCATATTCTACATGCTCAACAGGGTAGGATTAAGATAGCCCGTTATGATCCTCTATATCTCGTTCAAGGTATTTTTAAGCTATTGCATAGCTTCTATCGAGGGCCTTGAGCGCGGGGCCGAATCCAGAAATTCCGTAACGAAAAAAAACCTCACGCTAAAAACAAAACAAAAAACAGTACCAAAATCAAATGCTGAACGTCAAAGGAAATTTCGTCAACATAATGCAGAAAAATCTTACATGGATATGTAATTTGATTTAATAATAATATTTTTTATTTATTTATTTAAAAACAAATTGTAATATATGCTTTAATATTTTTATTTAATAAAAGAAAAAAAATTGTTTTCTTATAGGTCACCACGCTCAAAAAGTGTAACTTGAATTAATATCAAAGAAAAAGAAATACTGCATATTATAATTGCATAAGTTGATACAAAATGCTATGCAATAGCTTTACCGCGGCAGTCCCCGAGTGCCACACGTCTTTTTTTTTTATATAAATGTTTATATTGTGTACGTAAGAATAAAATAAATAAAAAAAAACTTCAGATTCAAATTCTGCTTTATAAAAATGTATTAAAACTTTAATCTTCTCGGATTGCCTGTCATTACATTTGTGAAGGATCGTACAAAGTTGAATTGAATTTTAGACAAACTTGATTGATTGTACGACTGAATAGCGGAAAGGTGTGGTGGGTCTTCTTAAGACGTTTCTGGGACTTATACTTACTTAACAGTTTGTACAACATGCATGTAGAGAGTCACTAATATAGGCTAATGCATCAGCTGGCTAGGAGTGGTAAGTAACGATAACATTGTTTATAAAGAAAACTGCCTCGGTGGTGTAGTAGTAGCGTATGCGACTGCTGTGCTAAGGTGTAGGTTTCGATTCCCGAGTCGGACAAAGTGTTTTCTATGTAGGTATACATATTATGTATGTATTTACAAAAAAAAACGAAAAAGTAATCTAGCCTTCATCGCACAAGCTCTGCTTAGTTCCAAACCATCTGACACACGAAGCGATCTAGGCTTTATGGGTCAGATGTCCGAAAAAAAATTTTTTATTAATTCATTTAGTTTTTTTTTTAAATATAAGATACATTTAGATACTTCTTAAGCAAAGTTTTTACTTATGGTGGATACCACAGACTGTAGGTACGTACTACACCAACACTGGCTTGAAAGTTGTCGAACGTTGATTCAAACGTTTATGTGTAATGTACCTATGACGAGTGTCTTAAAGAGAAATTACTCACCTTACGCTTTGTCTCTACCTTTCATCGTTAAATGTTTTACTAAAAAAACATATCTCACTTTCACTCCTGTCTTATCTTTACAAAGTACCCAGTTGATGTCTTACCGTGTGGTATGTCCTTCATAGCTTCTCGCGAATGTTGCCAGAATCAATATTGCCTTAAGTTAGCATAAGATTGTAAAATAACTTGCAGCTTGCGTCTTCACTTGAATTTTTCTCGAAAAAAAAACCTTTTCTAGATTAAAGCTACACTATGCCCTTTACAGGTAGAGGTTTATAAAATAATAAAAAACTAAATTATGCAATGATTGTATTTTTAAAGACTGCTAACAATATTTCAATCTTTATTCATATACTTACATATATTGTATTTGTTAGAGTATGCTACGAACAGAATAGTACAATAAGTATTGATTTTTGTAAGATACCGTGTCACGTATACACCTATTGTCAGGCCGCACAATGGTTTTTCTGTCTGTCAGATATGTAAAATACTTTAAATATACTAAATTCATCAAAAATATAATTTCCTGACCAGATTGGAGCGCCATCTACCAGGCTTTCATTATGAATCTAAACTATCTAGAAACGCACTTAAAAATACACAAAACATTTAATTCATAATCTAAATTAGGATCCTATAATTTGAACGCAGCACCTTCTCCTACTTGGTCCAAATCTGACTTTCAACTATTCAGAAACAAACTCACAAAAAAAATGTCCAAATGTTAAGTAAGAATGTTGTAATCCGATTAATCGGTCCAGCAGCCGTTTAGCAAATTCAGTGACAAAATCGTTTCTCCAAAGAATATTTGTCAATTTCATTCTTTCATCAAACAAATAAGTCTTTTCAAAGAGGTTTCGAGATTATAAATTTTAAGGAAATAAAGGACCTTAGTAAGCGTTTTAGTATTAAGATTTGCAGCCAACTAGATATTTTTTGTTTAGATTGAGATCTTACCTAACTTCAGTTATAATGCTTGATTTGTGCAAAAAAATTACAAATATAAAAAGGCGGACAGATTAGAACATAGGCGAACAGAATGTATGGTGTATAGGTGTCATCTTTAAAATAGCAAATTAAATCAAAATCTCCTATAATTTTGACTTAACCTAACATGCTGAGGTGGTAAATTTCATTTAAGCAGAGCACACTTTATTGCGCTTTTAATACGAGTAGTACAATAAATTTTGCTGGTAAATTGGCATCGATAAGCATTGCTGCCTTGTTAGAACCTTCATCATGGTGGCATGAGTTCTTCGTCATATCAAACGATTCGACAGTGGTGTTGTTGGTCAAAGTCACTTATTTTATGACTCAAACCACACCTTATACACTGTGTAGGCCGCATACAAGGTGAAGGCGCATCCAGCCAATTTAAGGCAGCCGCCTAACGTATTACCATCAAAGCAAACGTTCTCTCCGTCACAACCGCCATACCTGTAGAAAAAAAAATACATTGATATAAATATAATATTCTAAGCCTAAACAAGGTGCCTTATGTTACCCAAACATAAAATACCTACTGAATATTTGATGTAACTTGAATATAGGTTCGAAACACCAGACCCGTAAAATCTACGTTCCGACATCAAAGAAGTAATATATAAGCGTATAAGTATATGCGGAAACATTCAATTTAATTCTTTATTAGATATTCCCAAATGTTTGCAAAGGTGTAAAAATATTGAGAACTTAGTTGGTTTCAATTTGAGAGCCTATCCGTCACGTTATAATATCTCCCTTCCATTTTTTATACATCGTAACCCTGGGCTAAGAAGGTCTGCATAAAAAGTTAATATAGCATACACAAATGAACACAAACACACACATGTGTAGGTGCAATACATACTCACGAAGACATATACACATCATGAACTTTTGATGATTTTGGTTCCAATTTGTACTACTTAATTTTTCCTTTTCTATCCCTAAAGCTATTCCTGGGTCGCAATTCCCAAGCGCTGTCAAAGTCGCATGTGTTGCCCCCCATCTTTTGGTATCAATCATCAATAGGTCTATGTGTATAAGTCTATATTCATCTGTTTCAATAATGAATTGAAAGTAAACTATGTCTAAATCAGTTATCTTTCTTCTATGTCATATCATAAAATCTGGCTTCTAAATTTGATAAATATTTCAATTTAAAATGGTCTCATATTATGTACCCTTTCCTTAACGACTTGTCTAGATAAGGGTAAGTTACGGTCAACATTTTATTCAACATATCTTGTTTGGTATATAATATATGCGACCCGCGTCACTTTATTAATTACTTTTTATAATTGGTTCATCCACACAAAATGTTATTTTAATATTTAACGCAATTTGAATTAATTAAGCTATTGCATAGCTTCTATCGAGGGCCTTGAGCGCGGGGACCGAATCCAGAAATTCCGTAACGAAAAAAAACCTCACGCTAAAAACAAAACAAAAAACAGTACCAAAATCAAATGCTGAACGTCAAAGGAAATTTCGTCAACATAATGCAGAAAAATCTTACATGGATATGTAATTTGATTTAATAATAATATTTTTTATTTATTTATTTAAAAACAAATTGTAATATATGCTTCAATATTTTTATTTAATAAAAGAAAAAAAAAATGTTTTCTTATCGGTCACCACGCTCAAAAAGTGTAACTTGAATTAATATCAAAGAAAAAGAAATACTGCATAAATAAAATAAATAAATAATTATAATTGCATAAGTTGATACAAAATGCTATGCAATAGCTTTACCGCGGCAGTCCCCGAGTGCCACACGTCTTTTTTTATTTTATCATTAAAATCGAGCGTGATTATTTTAGGTCTCTTATTATTAAGCGCAGTAGTGTAAAGGCTTAAACATAGGAGGCATAACTTCAATAAATATACACATAATTATTATAGCCTTGAACTTAAAAACTGATTGATGAAACTGTATAATAAAAAAAACCAAACTAGAAAATTATCTATCTTCTTAAAATAATGCTACACCTTTTTATGAAAGTTTCTCGAGGAGTTCCTTCCTTACCTGAAGCTGTTTCAATATCGGTATACCTACCTATTGGTGTAGGAAGATTGTGTTTATCTTTAGCCAGTTCGTTTACAGCACTTATAAAACTTCAACCTTAGCTCCCGTGAGGTTATAACCCAAAGGAGGTCACCCCACGAGAGGAACCCACACCGTTCCAAAAAAACCTTTACATGACAGGTTTTATAAGGGGAAATTTTGTCACTCCTAATTGTTATATGTTTGTGTTCTAATAGACTTCGATACGGTACTAATGTTTACTCTAATTACCTATGTAATAATTTCATTAGAATGTGAGGCAAATGTCTATGATAATGATAAGAATAGAATTAATAAACAATAAAACGTAACTAGACTTCTGATAGCTATTAAGATTATTACATACATATTAAGTTTTGTACCGTACCGTCAAAACCCAGTGGTGTTATTAACACCTTTATTTTATATTAATAAGGGAGAAACCTATTGACCCTCAGCGGATGGGTTCAGAAATTTGAGGCGGGCAAATTGTGAGAATATAGAGAGGTAGGCAAAAAGAGAAGGCAATGAAATGAAAAGGGTTCATATGGTAAGGGGAATCTAAAAAATAACTCAAGAAGATCAGAATTGCACATCTGCACCTTGAACTGACTATTGCCATGAAGGTTAGTAACACTGACTGTTAATCTGGAGGTCGTGGGTTCGATTCCCACTCAGGACAAATGATTATCTAATAAGCGCGATCATTTGTTCTGTGTAACTTGTCTATGATATGTTTGTATTTAGAAATATTTAAGTATGTTTATCAGCGGTCTGGTTACCATAGCACAGGCTGTGCTTAGTTTGGGATCAGATTGCCGTGTGGAAATGTCTGAAGCTATTATTATTTTAACACGTTGATCTCAAACATTCCATTAATACCTACTCACTGTTGCCCTTAAAATGTTAAATCTCAAACAACTTATTTGACAAAAATCAGCAAGCAGTTACCATCAAAGTTAAGCAAATATTTCTGTAAATTTTCTAACCATATTTTATTCCAGTGTCTGATACGGCAAAAACGTACATAACGCGTATTTTTATCAAACCACAATTATGCTTTTCTGGATTAGCTTATCTTTTTATTGATTATGTTTAGCAGTGAGTATGTAGTTGCTATTTTAACCAGATAAGTAATTGAGACAAACTAATATGATATGCATGTGTTTTTATAGAGAGTATACACCTCTATTTCTTGACCTCTATTATCTATAACGACTAATTTTCATGATTAGTCGCGATACCAAAATTAAGAAACATACCAATTTAAAATATAAAAGATATAACATTCATCAGTTGTCACAGTCCAATCGGCTAGTGACCACGCCCACGAAACGTCAGGCAATTCAAAGGTTTGTACCTCCTTAATATCTATCGTGAGCGCATAAATATCCCCAAACATAATTATATATTATGGAACGCGATAGTTTAAAAGTTAGTATATTATATTAATGACTATAATATTTATTTATTTACCAGTTTCAGTTTACAGTAAAGGCTAACTTTACTATACTACTCGGACTAAAACTTAACTAATTCAAGACAATCCTAAACACATAAAAGACACATATTAGTTTTACGTAAAAAAATAAGTGTCTATTATCGACGACATATTACATTAGACATTATACTATAAAAAAAGTAATTCACCTCGTAAGTAGCATTATTCCAATGATACAGCTTGAAACAGCCACAAAAACAATAAAAGTAGGGATCAGCACTTCCAGCAACGCTCTTATGACTCCTTCAATTATCTTATAAACTATCTGTATTAAACGAATGCATACTTTTATTAAAAATTCCATTGTATTATGGCGCCAATTTCATCTCTTTTGCATTATAAATCCATGATTTTTTGTTGCTAACACTGAAATTAATAAATATATAATTATTATCTAACTAATAAGTATATTTAGAACTTATTGCACTTGAAAAACAATACCACAATATTATGTTACCATGTACTGACATGTTAAAATATGTGCCGTAAAATCACAAACACACACATTATAAATACAACATTCACAGTACGATACGTGTTTATAGATTGAATTGAGACCTAACAGTGACAACAAAGTTTTGCTTCACATTAGATTACATACACACAAATCAGGGTCACAAACGTTTATCACAAGTTCAATGTAATAATTGAGAGTGAAAAGAAATATTATATAAAATATATAAATTGGTGTTCTATTAGTCAGGTGATAAGAGGTATTTGATGGCATTTAAAAACAAATGACACCAGCAACCAGTATAGCATTATGAGTATTTTGAAATTCCTCAGAATCACGTTTTAAACTAGAATGTTTCTTTTGTTACTGGTCCCTTCGTTTGATCATCTTTTATTTTAATTGTTGCTTCTTAGATTAAATAACGAACATGTATCGATCAATTTTGCTGTAATGACATGATAAAGTCGGTTCTTTTTCAATGCTTTAGAATAAAAGAGAGATGAAGCTAATAAAGAGATGTTTTAAAAGTTTTATTTTATACGTGTCATTTTTGACTTAGCAACACCAATACTACTTAAACCAGGTATGTATTTACTCGTATTGCTTAGGTTAAGTTGATTTTCTGCCAAACTTTACAACACACCGAATCTAAAAAAATATGTCTAGTATTTGTGACCTTTAGCTAAAATGTTCAATGAGATTAAGTAATTTTATTACTGTATAACAATTTAACTTTTTTATCATACTTAATGTTTATTATCAGTGTTTTCGGATGTGGTTATGATACCTAGTTGTTTAGAGTAGATATGGTGTATTTGTTAGGAGTAGATAGAGCACGGTTTAGTTATAGAATTATATGTTTTTATTGGTGTATCAGTTAAAACACAGATTTTTCCTTTGGATATAAAATGTAATTTACTTATTGGTTATGTTATAATATACACACACTAAAAGGAGTAAAAATAAGTAGAGTAGCAGTGTCGTCAGAAAACATCTGTTGAGGAATTGGTAATTAACTAAGAGACCGGACTTGATAAACTACTAAATATAATTATTTTCCTGTTAAAATTATTGTTCTATAACAGAATTTTCCTTGTAGTTATATTAAATATTTTAGTGTGGCCTATATTCTCTGCCGAACTTAACCGATTTATATACTTTGTACATAACTATTTTAACTATAATATAAATTTACACCTGCATTCATATTTCTTTATACCTAGGTTTACAACAACTAGCGACAACTTAGAAACGCTGTTGCAGCCTTTACTAGTTGCAGTATGCCTAGAGTTTTCTCTAAGCATACTTTTAAAAAAACTAAAAAAAGAAAACTGACCTGTAAACCATTTTTTTTTTCTTTATTCCGTTTTTGAGAACGAAAATTGTGCTTTTTATTACACATTTATCTAGTTTTTAGTCTGTCCTTCTGTCCTAGCAATCGGTAGATGTTTTGCTAGCCACTGAATAAAGATTCACACAAAAATGAAGAAGGAATTAAAGATACAGTCACAAAATATTTTAGGTTTATAAGTGTTCATTCAGTGATAATCTAATCAACCAATAACCAAAGATGATCAGTCTAGAATATCTTTATTTTCGAGCCATTCGTTTTCACCAAAAATTTACCTAAATTTATAGTTAAAATAAAGAGTTACGTCTTTATACTAATACCTAATGTAATTTACGCACTGTACGTTGAATGATAGCATGTTAACGCTATAAAAACATATATATTGTTATGATAGTGACATCTTCAATCTATAAAGAAAAGATTGTTTGTTTGGATTTTGAGCACGGCAGTGAAGTTCATCAGATCGTCATACAATTCTACGTACGTATTTGTCACATTCGGAACAAAATCCTTTTCTCGAGCTGCTTTTAAGCGTGCGAAATTTCGGGAAAAGCTAGTATTCAATAACTGACAAAACATGTCAATGGGAAGAGAAATGTAAAGAAAACAGTAAGGCCCTAGCTTATTTGACAATAAAGAGCTACAAACTTACGGGATAAAATTGTGTACTATAAAGTCGATCACATGAAAATAGCATTTTGTCAATAAAATAGTTAATAAATCTAAATGTTCTGACATTATCTTTTAGCGATTGTCATGAATAAATAGTAGCCATGTCAATCGCTAAAGACATTTTATTCGGTGATCAGCTGAATAGGTTGCAACGAAAAAGTTTTAAATTCATATTTGCCCAAGCATGGCTCTCTTATGACTGCATTAAATATTTATAGTCATAAGAGAATGTATTTAAATATACCCCATATCTTTAAATGATTTCTCAATCGAATAGACTGAGTTAATCATCTTAAGATTCAGCGATTCGCCTGTAGCGACTGGTGTTTCAATGTTTATAAAAACTTTGGAGGGCACGCTTTGATTTATGAAACATTATTATTATTTCGAAAGAAACTAGTATGTCCTTGTGTTGCTCAATCTCAATAAAGTATTAGTACATTCTAAGCCGTTTCTTTATAAGTAAGGGCATACAAGAGCCTATGTAACTATTCTACTTATATAAAACAGTAATGCTCAACTGAGAAGTTCACAGCAACGAAAACCAATTTAGTGTTATACCCACATCACCAAAAACTTTGTGAGTTTTCCGGACCCTACCCAAAAATATTTATTTTCTTGAATATTCTGTAAAAGTAGGATAAGCATCGGTAACTGATTCTTTATCATCATAAAAAGGTTTCAGATAGTTCACTGCAGGGCAAAGGCCTTCTCTATTTTGTTCTCTCGTAAATTCCTTTAAGAACAAGTCAAGCTCGTCTATTTTCTGCTTGTTTTACTGATAATCTAACCCTAGTCTAGTTTTCCCTTGTAAATCTAAGTAAAAATGATAATTAAAAAATTAAAAAAAAACCCTACATCCGATATCCGATAAATCAACTTTAACTACTGAACTAAAAATATTAAAAGGCACGTCCCTAAGAAACGCGCGAATAAGCACTTACTATTTAAACAAAATGAACTCACTTAATTAAATTACACTATAAAAAAAATTCAGTTACTTGATAGATGAGTCTACATTTTTACCGCGAGAAACTTATAACATAACTCTTTATTGCGAAAAAAAAACCATCCTCAACATTGATCAAAATCATCAAAATCGACTTTTGATATTTTGAATATTTCTGATATTCCATTGTAGTAATAATTGTTTTAGGAGACAAGAAGTTTTAATACAAGTTAGACGAGAAAATGGATTTTGGAGAGCCCATTTACTTAATGAAGGCTATTAAAAAAAGAGAAGCTATATCATAAGGCTCAACGCCTTGGAAACGAGTTTTATTAATTTTCTAAATATTTGACAAAACAGATTACTGTTATTGTGTGTGTTGATCTACGACTTTTGGATCTACATAAGATATAATAAAAAAAAATGTATAATTACTGTATTTATTTTAATCTGTATTTATCTTTATTAATGAAATATTAATAATATGATACATTGCGTGTTTTTTTTGTGACATTCAAAAACAATCTACAAAGAAGAAGAGGTGATGAATATCTACCTTATACGAAAGCCGAAAGTAGATTGATCAGTGTCCTGGGTAGTGTACTAATAGTGCGCGTTGCGTCTGTGTGCATTTAAAATAATAATGTGGGTGTTCAATCTCGAGTTCTCACGCTTGGGGACTACAGTCTTAAGAAATTCAATAAATCACAACAACTTCTCATTGAGATTGTTCTAATAAGCCCAAACATGGTATATAATATACTTTAATTGTCTGCTAATCCGCAGAATACTAACAGTCTCAATGGGCAGTTGTTGGTTTTTAATATAATATTAAAACTATAGAAAAATAATATTTACAGAAAAAGGATGAGACATACAAAATATTATCTTATTGTATTATTTTTATTTTTTATTGGCACTTCCAACTTTTCGCTCGTTATATATGTATGTATTTATGTCCACTGGCCTTTATTCCATCAGTATTACCTATTATAAAAGGTGTGATTATACACACGGTGCCGGAGGTAGTTGTTTTTAAGAATACTTGTTTTAAGCATAGTTAAGTATTTTTTCAATTTACATCTTTGGCCTACAAAAATACAGTTTACCTTATTAAATTTATCAATGTGAGGATTTACTATATATTCCTTTATCGTACAGTGGAAACATTGGTCATAATCGGATAATCATTTTTTCTTGATATTGACTTAAATCAAAATCAATAAAAATATCCAATAGGGGAAAAATGCAAGGTCAGTTACTGGTTTTTAACCTAAACAGGTTGAGTCAATAAGTTTGTTGAATAAACGACATGATCAATAAACAGTAACATTAGATGGTGTCAGAATCGATTTGCTTAGACATGGCCGGGCAAATTGTATACTAAACGTTAATTTTTAATGACTTGGTGTCTTGTCAAGGCAGATCTTGATCGACCCAATTCTACGATCAACACACTCATAGGTACACATAGATGAAAAGTAATAGTTAAAATATTCATTACAATATAAGGGTGGTAGGCATGCGTTATTTAAAAAAAAATGCTTATTTCGTGTTAAGAACTGTCAAAAAGAGGACAAATTAACAAAAAAAGGAAAACATTAAAAATACATAATATCAGTGTTAGATTTTTTAATAGAGCAAAGAAACAAGTTAATACCTTAATATCAGTACCCTCTATGATAAGATTAACAATAATGACAGTGTAACAAACACCAGTAATTGTTAATTCTACTGATATCTTTGTAAGTATGATGATAATTTCATACACCAATTTGATAAAATTTGTAGGCTACTTAAAAAATTAATTGCGATAGTTTAATCCGTTTTTAATTTTGTAGTCACCTGTAATCAATATGTAACACAACTCTTACAATTTAGTTTTAATAAATATTTCATTTATGTTATGTTATATTATCCTCTGAGTCTGATGCTTCGGAAAATTTTATTTTAAAACTTCAAAACCAAAATGAAATATACATAATACATAAACATTTTTCAAACCTATATGACATTTTCGCTTTTTTTCCTAATTAAACTCCATGAAACTTCATTTGATAGTTCAGTGAAAAGGAAATCGGAATAGAACTTTGGATGCCAATAAAAATAAACGGTATTTATGGTTTTGTCTATTCAGCTATTTTCTTATAAAAATCTCTTAGAAATATTATTTTATAAGAGTGCAAAACAAATAAATTGCGGTTCACCTGGCGTTGGTCGGATGTAGCTTCGTAATAAAGATAGAAACTTTAAAAAACTTTATAAATTCAATAAACTTATTAAAAAACGGTTGTCAAAATGTTTATTCGAGTCTTTGCTAATTATAGAGGTATATTTATATACGACCTCTTGAGACAATATTTGAATCATGGTCAGGTGCAATAAATTTTTTAATCATCGTATTACAACCTATTTTATTTTTTGATGTTCGAGCAATTCTTGTATATATGTATATTTATAATCTGAATATCTATTATAAATTAATATCTAATATAAATATAATATAATAATAATATAAATTAGTATGCAGGAGGTTTCGAGGTAGATTAATCATATATATATATAACATAGGCCTCTCCTTCCTAAGGAGAGGCCTATGTTCAGCAGTGGACTAGTAAAGGCTGTTGATGATGATGATGATGATATATATACGTTTCATAATAGCACTGCTGGTTGCCAATGTACTATGCATACCGTCGCTAACATAAATAAGAAATAAGAAATTTTGACTGTTTTTGAAGTAAATTTTATTTACGCACGCTTGACTTGGGGAGTAAGCTGGTGAATGCGTGACCAGAGGAAGAGGAAGAACGGAAGTTGAGAGGGAGGTATAAGTTAGTGAAGATAGAACGAGAGAGAGAGTAAGCTCAAGTGAAGCCAAAAAGTTTTACTTCAGTCGTGTGGTCAAAAGCACACTCGTTTTTTTAATTCCTAAAACTTGATGAGCTCAAATAAAAACTTTCTCAAGGACTCAAGAAAGTAGTTAAACAGAAATCGTGATCAAAGACAGGACTGTCATACTAATTTAGTCATTACTTCTCAGTTGAAGCATATGATAACTGTACAAAAGGCAGATCCCACTTCAATGATCTCGTAGGAATTTTTCAGTTTTGTTTAATAATAATAAAAATAATTGAAAAAATAAAAAATACGCTTTTGTAACTAGCTGAACTAAAAAGTAGAAAATTATTTTCTATAAGTTAAAAAGTTTATTAGTTTTTTCAAACTAATTCATTTTTACTTTTTTAGTAATTAATGCTGATTATTTTCTCATTACGACTAAAAAAGTAACAAGTAAGTTAGTCGCGTAATATGCTTCAGCACATGCCTAG